GTCCTGGTGTTAATGGGAATAGGAGCCAATCAATGTGTCTACTGTGCCTTAGATTTTCACATAAGTGGTTTGCTTACTGTGATAGGCAGAATTCTAAGATGCCCTCTGTTGACTCACATTTTGTATAATACTCTCCCATTGGCTCTCTGAGTGTGGCATCTATGAATGTGATGGGATTTTATTCTATTGATTATATTACCTTGTGTGGTAAAGATGAGGGGATTTTGCAAATACAATTAAGCTAAACAGTTTTTTGCCTGGAACTGGGTGTGTTTTCTGCTAGGCTTTTAACATGTAGCGTGAGGAGTTAATCGAATTAAGAGTTGGGCTGGGTTTGACTTTGTGGTTGTTATGATTACCCTTAGTTCACCAGTCTTCAGCTTCTTTAGTGATACTGTATTTAAGGTGGGGGCTGGCTTGCCAAGGTTCTTTCTTTCCTTCTTTCTCTTTTTTTTTTTTTTTTTTTTTCCTGTAACTCCTACTCTACCCTCCCAGCTTTAGGCTGGCCTTTACACTGTGCCTCTAATTAAGCCTTTGTCTTAGGCCTGCAACATGGCCCTGGTCTATAGGGTGTGTCTGTTTGGTGCTCCTGGTGTAGCTCAGTCCAGCACATATGCTTGTTCCACTCCCAGAGGTAGAATGACTGCTTCTGTTTCCCTTGGATGCAGTTGGTTTTTATCAGTGCCCTAAGGATGATAAGGTTGCTACCCTAAGAGTTTAACACTTTCAATTTGCCTGTGTTTTTAATAAATTGTTAATGTAAATTCTGTGAGCAATTGATAAGAGTAAGAATGATCCTGACACTCAGAAGGTGGTAAAATGGCTTTTAGTGATATGGATCACAGGACTTGTTCTGTCCTAGTGTGATTTGTGACTTCGGCTTCTATACTGAAGGCAATACTTTGCATGTGCTTCACCTGGCATCCTGTTCTTCCTCTTAAGCATAATTCTAAGAAGTATCTTCTTTTTAAATGCCTTTTTCCCTAATAGGCCTTATCTTTATTGTAAATCGAGATATACCATGGAAGTCAGCAATGAGCTGGCTACAATTACGTGATTTTGAAAATTTTCTTCATAGAATCACCAGCTTTCATCCAAGCAGCCCCCAGTGTTCTAAAGAAGTAACTGATAACTTTTACTTGCACATTTTTTCTATCTTTACATCAATCTTGAATGCATAAGGAAACAACACATTCTCCTGAGATTTTTTTTTCTTTGAATTTTAGGATAATAAAAATGCTCTCAGGGGTACAGTAGCCCACAGCAATGAATCAAATCATGTATTACTGCCTTAGGATTTATGCTGGAGGTGCTGTCACTGACACACCATAGGGTACAATGAATAAGGCCAGAAAATTAGAATATCAGAAGATTGGCAATGTCACACTATTTTTTTTTAATTTTAATTATTTTTTTTATACAGCAGGTTCTTATTTGTTATTTATTTTATACATATTAGGTATATATGTCAATCCCAATCACCCAATTCATCCCACCACCCCCTCCATCCCCCACTTTCCCCCCTTGGTGTCTATACATTTGTTCTCTACATCTGTGTCTCTATTTCTGCAAACCAGTTTATCTGTACCATTTTTCTAGATTCCACGTATATGAGTTAATATACGATATTTGGTTTTAATAAGTCACACTGTTAATTGAGTTCTTGGTTGGCCACAAAGAATTAAAGAAAGAACCCCCATTCCTATTCAGCATTAACTCAGTTTAGAGACATTATTTGAAAGCATCTAGATGGCTGAGAAACATATTGTCTCCGTACTTTGCTAACAGTTGTAATTAAGAGATGTACCTGAATCCATTTAGGATATGTTAATTATCTTGGTGCAAGATTCTAGCTCTGATGTTGGCTTCCATAATACTGAATGAGCTCCTTAACACTGCTTCCTCAGTGGTTGCTGAGGCAGGGACTTACTTATGACAATCAGTCATCTGGAAGTTATGCCCAGGGAGAGTGGGGAAAAAAGACATTGAACAAACGTGTCTACTGTATCAAGTAGCTCACAATGTAGCTTCCTCTCTTGTCACCCTTAACGGATGAATTATTTTTATTTTTATTTTTATTTATTTATTTATTTATTTATTTGCGATACGCGGGCCTCTCACTGTTGTGGCCTCTCCCGTTGCGGAGCAACAGGCTCCGGACGCGCAGGCTCAGCAGCCATGGCTCACGGGCCCAGCCGCTCCGCGGCATGTGGGATCTTCCTGGACCGGGGCACGAACCCGTGTCCCCTGCATTGGCAGGCGGACTCTCAACCACTGTGCCACCAGGGAAGCCTCAGATGAATTATTTTTAAAATATTGTTAGGTTTATATTTTTCCTCACTACTTTCCACCTAAATAATGATATAATTCCTCTTGTAACTTTCTTATAGTTCACGTTTCTCAGATTTGGAGGGGGTGGGAAGCAGTGAGGAATTGAGAGTGGGTCATACATAATAATGTTTACATCTTCTCTTAAAATTAATTTACCTTCCCTTTTGAATTGCTTTCTATATAGGAAAAATGGGCTATCCATGTGATCCTCCTTGCAGTTATTACTAAACAGTATTGTGCTCTTCATTTATATTATCTTTTATATATTTATAACAAGCTCAAGAAGACTATTTTGAAAGAATATGTTGGTCTTACACTTCTATAAATAAAATTCAAATGTTTCTTTATTCTCATTTATCTTGGGAATAAATTGGTTCAACAGAGTTATGCAGATTTCCCCATTTATATTACCATGTCTCCCAGTACCTTATATCGTATTATTTTTTTTTTTTTAATAAATGCTGACATTTCTTGAGCACTTTCTCTGTGTCCGGAATTGTTCCATGTTCCTCCCCTGTGATACCTTACTGGGTCCTTACAACGATCCCATGATTTAGGAACAATGACCATCCTCATTTTACAGGTTAGAACTGAGGTGCAGAGAGCTTAGGTGGCTGGCCCAAAGACACACACCTAGTATACGGCAGAGCAGGATTATGAATTTGGGTTCTGTCTGATGCCTAAACCCTCCTCGCTTTGCTAGCTTAGTTGGAAGGAATTCTGAGTGGTATGTTGCTTTGAGTCATTCATCCTCTTAAACTGTTTGCTGTGACTCAGGTCTCGGAGTGAGTAGGGCTTAGGCTAAATTCTTATTTTTTTATATCCAAGATTATTGCCACCTTTATGATTCAGTAAGTGAATGCAGCCTTATTGGGAATTTCAGTAAGGACATTAAGGGAACATCTAGACTCACTTGAAACATAGTTGCATTCATCTCAGAGTAATAGCCAATCCATCATAGAGGCTTGTCCTACCTGACCTAATATATGTCTTGTCTTGGGAATTCCAGATTGGCCTGGTTGTTTGAGTCACTTCCCATTCTTAGGTAAAGCTATGAGGGCTGTTAGAGTTATCTTCAAATCAGGATTTACAAGACAATATAAAATTAATCTTTACCTAATTTTATAACCTTTCCTATGTTGTGATTTTAGAGATAAAAGCTGAGACATAGAATATAAACATCTATCATGGAAGAAAAAAGGTAAAATAAGGTTTAAGTAACTTAGTTGAATCCAAACTATTTTAGCTATACGTTAGTTACCATATTAATGAATTTAATCAAATCATCATTTTCTTTAAGTGGGTTTATGTGTGTAGCTAGCTTGGGTAAAAAATTTGAATAATTATCAAGGTTAAATAAACAGACAAGTACTGTGAGGTAAAACAGAGTTTGAGTGTCTAAATTATTTGATGTGATCACACCCACTGACAACAAAGTTCTCTTCTTTGCATGAATGGTTAGGCAGAATGCCATTTAAACTACATGGTGGTAAGTGAAATGGACTTTTGTTTTTCTTTCCGGCAAATGTAATTTAAGTAAGATGACTTAGTAATGAACAAACAAAATAAAAAGACAAAAATTTAATGACAGTAATGCTTCAGTGCCTAGATTAATGTTTGTGGTGGTTCTATTCTTCATATTGGGGTTAAAACTATCAGAATATCACTTCATTTTGTGTCATGAGAATTGAGACTAAATGCCTTTAGACAGAACAACAATCAGAGGAGCATGCCCTACTAACCTCTGCTTCAGGATAACCGGAAGAGACTTAGAAGCAATTGAAAGAAACTCCACTAGGTAAGATGGTTATATGTTAAGGGGCAGGCAATTCAACTGGTTTATTCAAGGTGGTGAAAAAATTCAGTTCAGTAGGAGCATGAGGGGACGATGTTTCTTCTAACACGAGAATAGTCTAGGATTGACTCTTTCAGGGTCATGGACAGGAAAGGTCATCCTATCCTAGCACAGAGCTACAAAGGAACACTTTCAAATGTGTATGAGTTTGGGGATTGAGGAGGAGAAGCTCAGATACAGCAATCAAAATTCTGGATAAATTTATTAAGGTTCAATTATAAATGTTAAAACCTTAGAAACATTATCTAAACAAATAAAAAAATCTAGTTGTCTTGCCCATACAGAAGGGACTACTCTGACGAATGAGAAAATGTTTTAATGAAATACATTTAGGACATATTTAATGTATTCACAAACATTGGTAAAATTCTGCCTTACAGTTAAAATTCTTTTTAAAGTTATTTGATTATTTGAAGTGATGCTTCTCAGTGGTCAGGAGGCTTATGATGTTTTGGAACACTTTATAAATTACTAAAAATCATCAGCTCTAACACTGGTGTTAAGAAAGTATTACAGTTACATGAACTTTTAATAAATGCATTCAAATAAATGTTAGCCAAAAAGCCAAACTTGCACATTGAACCCTTTTCGTTTCATTACCTTCAGAATATGATTTCATAGGAAATGTCAATGTCGATATAGACTTCACAATAGCATATATGCTTAGAATTTCATTTGTATATATTAACAGCTTTCAAACTGTATGAGATATAGTTTATATCTTTTTTTTTTTTCTTGCGGTACACAGGCCTCTCACTGTTGTGGCCTCTCCCGCTGCGGAGCACAGGCTCCGGACGCGCAGGCTCAGCGGCCATGGCTCACGGGCCCAGCCGCTCCGCGGCATGTGGGATCTTCCCGGACCGGGGCACGAACTCGTGTCCCCTGCATCGACAGGCGGACTCTCAACCACCGCGCTACCAGGGAAGGCCCAGTTTATATCTTTTGAGAGGTGTTTTTTTTTTTTTTAAGTTTTGACTTCCTACGTCAAAAGAGGTTAAAAATAACTATGTAAATAGGATCCAGCTGAATGTTATATGGTCTTTCTTTATTCCCAAGGGTCACATTCATGACATAGCACTGAATTTATGTTAAAATATTGTTCTGAGAGGAGTATTGACATAAGATAATGTGATTTATGCTTCCCATCCATCATATTGACAGATTTTAGACAGATGTTGCTGTTTGTCAAACATGGTACAAAACAAGGCAAAACCTCATAATATCATAAAAACTATTTGCCTTTATCACCAACTCATCCATCTTTCATTCCTATGAAAATTTTAGTGTTAGAAATAATGATTGATTCAATAGGAAATTTTAAAATATGTTTTTGTTAAACAGTTTTCCCCTGAAGACACTTAACACCTGTCACTCAGTTGTCATTCAAATAAAGTGTAGTATTTTAATTTCAGTCAAATAAATATATAAAATGTATTACATATGAACAGAATGAACATGATTTGAGGGATTTTGTTTTAGATAAATGAAACAAAATAAATACCAGGGAAATGAATGTCAATCGAGTGATTTTTTCTTTCTTAACAAACCTTAAACGCTGGTTATGATAAAATAGTAACCCTTCCAAATTTCTGAAATTCTCTTCAGTACATTCAGACAGCATTTCATGTATATGAGCTGAATCTCTTTTTTGTGATATGTAAAAGTGTGCATTAATAAATCACTAAATGTACAGTATCAGGCCCCTAAGGCAGGTGAGAGACCATTTGAAACTACCTTTTATGAATAGCAAATACCTATGTTATTTGTTATGTAAGACAACAACAGAAAGGTCATCCATAAGATAATTACTGGAAACCACTTTTTTTCAATTTATATGACTCTTTGCCTTATATTTGTTTTTTTGACACTATTCTTACACTCATATGTGTAGGGTCACCCATTACGCTAACTGGGTGTTCATGAATTTATCAGATAAAAATCAAGGGGGCAGAATATTTTCTTACTCTCTAGGAGGGCTATCAATCTTGGAAACCGTTATCAATTACTGCTTTCATGTAATTCTTAGTATAAATAGTACTTTATTCGTCTCTGCAGATCATACAAAAAGGGCTTATGAATTGGATTCAGCTTTCCAGTATATTATATTTTAACTGAAAAAAGCATGTGAAAGTGTAATCTTCTGAAGCTTTTAATAACAATTCAAGTTACCATAGTATCATATGGTTAATATTATAAAATAATTATATTAAAGCATTACTTCCAAGTGTGATACATAGAAAGTAGCAATAGTTTTACCTAGGATAAATATTAAAATGCAGATTTCTTAGAAACTGAATCAAATAACCCTAAATAGCTGTTTGAAAATCACAGCCATTAAAGGTTTAGGAAAAGAAAAAACTATAAACCCTTATATGGCTAGCATTTAGTTTTCTGTGAATAGGAAATTAGAGCCATCAGATTCTGAGGTTCAGTATCAGAGGTTTTCTTTTGTATACAGACCTCAGGAATCTTCATCTTAAACTAGCATTCCAGGTGCTTTACTACAAAAGTACCTGGAATAAGACTTTCCAAAATATTGAAATAAAAACATAGAAAGGCTTAATAGAAAGCGATATCTATATTACTATCAGAACAGACAGAGGGTTATATTTTGAAGAAGATATGACAGTAATCAAGACAGTATGGTACTGGCACAAAAACAGAACTATAGATCAATGGAACAGGATAGAAAGCCCAGAGATAAACCCACACACATATGGTCACCTTATCTTTGACAAAGGAGGCAAGAATATACATGGAGAAAAGACAGCCTCTTCAATAAGTGGTGCTGGGAAAACTGGACAGCTACATGTAAAAGAATGAAATTAGAACACTCCCTAACACGTACACAAATATAAACTCAATGTATTAAAGACCTCAATATAAGACCAGACACTATGAAACTCTTAGAGAAAAACATAGGCAGAACACTCTATGACATAAATCACAGCAAGATCCTTTTTGACCCACCTCCTAGAGTAATGGAAATAAAAGCAAAAATAAACAAATGGGACCTAGTGAAACTTAAAAGCTTTTTGCACAGCAAAGGAAACCATAAACAAGATGAAAAGACAACCCTCAGAACAGGAGAAAATATTTGCAAATGAAGCAATGGACAAAGGATTAATCTCCAAAATTTATAAGCAGCTCATGCAACTCAATATCCAAAAAACAAACAACCCAATCCAAAAATGGGCAGAAGATCTAAACAGACATTTCTCCAAAGAAGATATACAGATTGCCAACAAACAAATGAAAGAATGCTCAACATCATTAATCTTAGAGAAATGCAAATCAAAACTACAGTGAGATATCACCTCACACCAGTCAGAATGGCCATCATCAAAAAATCTACAAACAGTAAATGCTGGAGAGGGTGTGGAGAAAAGGGACCCCTCTTGCACTGTTGGTAGCTATGTAAATTGATACAGTCACTGTGGAGAACAGTATGGAGGCTTCTTAAAAAAATAAAAATAAAACTACCATATGACCTAGCAATCCCACTACTGGGAATATACCCTGAGAAAATCATAATTCAAAAAGAGTCATGTACCACAGTGTTCACTGCAGCTCTATTTACAATAGCCAGGACGTGGAAGCAACCTAAGTTTCCATTGACAGATGAATGGATAAAGAAGATGTGGCACATATATACAATGGATTATTACTCAACCTTAAAAAGAAACAAAATTGAGTTATTTGTAGTGAGTTGGATGGACCTAGAGTCTGTCATACAGAGTGAAGTAAGTCAGAAAGAGAAAAGCAAATACCATATGCCAACACATATATATGGAATCTAAAAAAAAAAAAAAAAAGGCTCTGAAGAACCTAGGGGCAGGACAGGTATAAAGATGCATATGTAGAGAGTGGACTTGAGGACACAGGGAGGGGGAAGGGTAAGCTGGGACGAAGTGAGATAGTGACATGGACATGTGTACACTACCAAATGTAAAATAGATAGCTAGTGGGAAGCAGCCACATAGCACAGGGAGATCAGGTCAGTGCTTTATGACCACCTAGAGGGGTGAGATAGGGAGGGTGAGAGGGAGATGCAAGAGGGAAGAGATATGGGGATATATGTATAGCTGATTCACTTTGTTATAAAGCAGAAACTAACACAGCATTGTAAAACAATTATACTCCAATAACAATGTTAAAGGTAAATAAATAAAGGGTTTCCCTGGTGGTGCAGAGGTTAAGAGACTGCCTGTCAATGCAGGGGACACAGGTTTGAGCCCTGGTCTGGGAAGATCTCACGTGCCACGGAGCAGCTAAACCTGTGAACCACAACTACTGCCCGCGGAACTAGAGCCCATGCTCCGCAACAAGACAAGCCACCGCAATGAGAAGCCCATGCACCACAACCAAGAGTAGCCCCCACTCGCTGCAACTAGAGAAAGCCCTCACACAGCAACAAAGACCCAACACAGCCAAAAATAAATTAAAAATATAAATAAATAAAGTATCTCATATAAGTGGAAAAAATAAAAATAAAAGGGGGCTTATTGTATGAATACATGGAAAGTACTGAAAAAGCAGAAATGTATGAAAAGATACACAACAAATTATCATGGATATAGAATGTAGATCAGATCAGAGTGGACATCAAACAAAGTGGTAAGGCTGTCTTTTATTTTTCCAGAAGACCAGCTGCTCCTGACTCTGTAAGTCACCATTGTGGAGCCCACCCAAATCACGTCTCCTTCCACTATTTCTGCTTCCACAAATAACTTCCTTTAACACAGGTCTTGGCTTACTCATGGCTTCTGCTGTCTCACAATGTTGCTCCTCAGTGTGTGTCTCCTTTTTCAGCATTACTGTATTTATTACAAACATGTATTGCATATATTGAATGCTTATTTCATACCAAATCCATCTACCTACATGGTCTCATTTACTCACCACAGCAACCTCATGGCATAAACATTACTACAATTAACATTTTGGATTCAGAAAGCTGAAGCTTAATAAAGTTAACTAATACGCCACAAATCACAAATGTAATATCATGATATATGGTGCTGATTCCAGATTTAGTTCTTAACCTCAACCAGCTCTTTCCCACCACGGTGTGTTCTTTCTTTCTGTCTGGCATACAAAGGGTAGACTCTGTTTGGAACAGAGCTGATGTTAAAGAGATTTTGTTTACTCAACTATTTTCATTGGCCAGTGAAGACCTACAGATGGCTTCCACCAGTCCAATCAGTTGTCACCTGGAAAGTAGGTTCACTGGTTTCAAGACATGGTATTCCATTTGTAAAGTTCACCTTCATAAAGCTGTTGAGGTAACACATAGTCAGAAGAAAATATAATGTGAGACCTTGATTAGAACTGTAATATTTTAGACTTCAGAAAAGTCTATCTATTAGTCATAACAAAACAGATCATTACCATGTGCACTTTAGCTAATTTCTTCTATTTTCTAATTTGTGTCATGAATTATATAGTTGGAGGTTTACTGTGCATACAGTATTATAGCACAATTTTAGTATAGATCCATGAGTGATCTTCTGTATAATTTTCTCAACACTTCTCTAAAAATATAGGAATAATGTACCAAATATTTTACAATTTCATTAAAATATAATAGCCATAATGATACCAAGAAGACAAGAATTTTTGCTCCAGAACAAAGAACAAATATATGTATATATTCCAGCTTTTTCCTTGTTGAAGGGGCCCCATACTGCTTCAACTTACATACAACCTGAAACCTCACTCTTTCACATTCAGAACTTTTAAATTCTGGCATTTCTAAATCTATTAATTCTTTCCATTATAATTTGTATCTTTTGGGTCCATTTTAAAAATCGTTCTCTATATCCAAGTTTCTAAGTCTGTTCTCATATATTGTCTTCTAATAAGTATGAGTATTTCATATTTGGGTTTTTATTTCTTTCAGAATATATTCTGTATGCGGAACTATGTCTT